CACGTTACAGGTTGCTATAATCAATAAAAATACTTGGACTACCATACCAAGATCATCGCATATGAAAGTAAAAATAAACAAATATAATAACAAACAGTTCACATACATAGATAATTGTATAGTAATTGCAGTGTGAGCGTAGACCCAGACTATTAACTATTAAGACGCGTTGTGTATATTCTGATCACGTAACTACCTCAAAATAATTTGCATCAAAGGAAACTAATCTAAAGGTATTGAGGTCATCCACTCGATCACCGGATGAGAGAAAAACTACAGGATAATTAGAAATAATGAATGCATTTGCGAGTATGTCTTGTGGAGGATTATTCCCTAGATATACACTGTGTTCAAGATAAGAATGTCTACCATGGCAATCTCCGAAATCATAGAAGGTACGACGATGGTCAAATTAGAGAAAAGTTGCGCAATGAAAGAGTTCGAGTTAAAGAAAATCAAAAACGTTGGAAATTGTTGGTTTCAACAGGATGGTGCACTCGCACACAACGCCATGATCCTGCGACAATACCTATTGGTCATATTTCCTGGAAAATTTCTCTTACAGGTACGAATATGGCATTGTGAACGGGTATACCATCCTGTTGAAACCAACAGTTTCAAACTTTTTTTATATGCCGTGCATCGTTGTATTCATATTAAAAAATGCTACTCAATACAAGTATGTACTTTTTTTATAGATCATATAAAAAATCAAACGAAACGTTGTATTGAAAGCTCTCAACGGTGTCTTGTAAAGCTCAAAAAGTGGTAACGGGGAATTTTAATTTTTTGTATCTGCTCATCAGAAAAAAATAAAAAACCAAATCGGTGAATTTCGGTTTTTTGGCATATCTTCGGAACTAATCGGAATTTTCTAGTTTTCGTCACAAAGTTACTAAGTGGCCAAAGAAGAAGCCCGAGAAGAAGTGTCGGACTTGAAAGATGCGACGAAGCCCAAGCCAGAAGAACTCGAAGAAGCAGATATCGAAATAATAATAAATAACAAAGTAAAGTAAGGATGCTAAAGAATATCTGATGCTCCCTTAGAAAAAGAAAAAGAGGAAGCCTAAAGAGCAAAGAAATCTGAGGAATCGGAAGAAGTGAACTAAGTAAAAGAAGACTCGTTGTTATATTAGATGGATTCGATTGAAGGAATTTTGTTTTGGAGTATGTGCTTTCTGATTTTGCAAACATTTTTCCATTTCACGATGTTTGATCTCTCAATATCACTGAAAACGAAAATAACTAAACCAAAATTAATTTCCAGCTGCAATATTATTTTGACTTGCGTATACGCAACCCCTTTTGCGGTGGTCTATTTCAATATTCTTAAGGAATTTCGGCAATTTTTTTGAAAAAACGCATGAAGAAGCTATTCCGTCATTAAATACATAGTGTTCCCGCCAAATCTTGACGTGAAATATCGTGGAGCTGGAAATTAGATTTTTTCTCCCCCGTTGAGGATTTTACGAAGAGATTATTTTCTCATTTTTATTGAATTAGAAACATTAAACACCCTGTGTAATTTTTATTTTACTTACTGGTGTATCGTCGAAATTTTAATTCATTGTTTGGTTAATATTGTATTGTTATCAGATTGTTGATAGCTAACAACAAAGCAAGACTTTGATAACATAGGTACTAGTACAACAATTAATTCTATACCTTGCGCTATCGCATTCAACCTATGTTTGTACCCTTAACCTAGATACCCATACATAGATCTCAAAAGTAAATCAGTGTAGGTAGATGTGATTAATTCGATAGGCGAAATAATGTGGATTCATTCATGGAAACACAATCAAATCGAATACTATATCTATTTATTAAAATAATTAATCATGATCTGCTACGGTTTGTCGATCGGATGCAAAAGTATAGTTAATCTTAATATCAATAATTATTAATTAATGCACAGCTTGTTAAATAGTTCAATGAATAAACGCCAACTTGCAAGGTTATGGTAATTGTAACCTACAAATCGTACCAATAAAGTAGGTGTACAAGTTAATATTTGCTGACGTTAAAACTATACCTACATGTGAGTAAGCTGTATATAATAGGTCACCTACAATTAACACCCATCGTAAACATAGGTAATCCAAATATTATGAATTCAAGGGAGGAGATTTCCAAATGTTATTAGCTTATTACAGCGTATAGCAGCTTCGGGCCTCGCAAAGTGTAATTTGGTTCCATAATTAAACTATGCGTGTGCAAAAATTCAGGATAGGTATCTAATTCTGAAATGTGGTAATCTCGATTAAAAATCTGACCGGCCCGGGTATAAAATGAAAGACCAAACATGCACGCGCGTTTCCGAAAAATTGGCTGAGTAATTTTCATGTACGTAAAATTGCGTTTTTTCAGAAAATTAAAAATAAGACACCAAAACCGAATTGACATTCTACTTCTAACTTGTAAATGAATTATAGAGCATTAAGGAAATTGACTAATAAATTTGCTGGTTAGGAAATGACATAATTTAGCCAGGAAGATACAAACAAGAACTAAGTTTAACTAAACTATACAAACTTGTACCTACACAATCTTACAGCACGACAATAATATAAGGAAACTGTTTATTATAAAGTGAGTTCAAATTGTTGTTAAACACGCGCAATTAATTTATTGTTGGGGAGTAGGTATAAATATAAACTTACCGATTTCACCAACCAAGAGTGAATTGGGTCTTTTGCATTTATGTCATGCCCAAATCTGAATTGAATGTATTTTATCAGCACTCTCACTCGACACATCACTGTGGGATGTACGCAATAATTGTCATTATAACACATGTATAAAAATAACCAATATTAGTGGATAACAACAAAATATAAAATTATAGCATTTCGAAATAATATAATAGTTGCGAGTATTTATATGTAAAGTAGTTGGGTGCGATATTGCAGCCTCTTTCTTATTGTCCGTCCGTCCGGCCGTCCGTCCGAGGCCTTAGCTACTCCTACAGGTTCTTTTGATTCTTCAGTTGTATTCAATTGTTCTGTTTCTTAAGGTTTGCCTGATTATCCATTGTGATCCATATAGTTTTTTGTATTGTGATCAATTTTAGGTGTTGAGTTTTTCGAATTTTTCAATGTTAGTGTAAAGTGCAAAGATATAAATCCATAAAGTAGGATCTTAATTTCTTAGATTTCTGATATATTTGTTCCGTAATAACGAATGCCACCCAGACGAAATTTGGCTCAACGCCACCACAGTATGCCAAATTACGGTTTTGTATTCAAATCATCCTAATTCTTTACATTCTTCAAATTTATTCAGAAAACCACTCCAAACGTTCTTTCAATTCTCCATATGCTTTGGATTTGGATTTTTCGTAGCTTTCACACTTTTGCGATTCTTCGTTTTTTTTATAGAGATAATTCTTCGAGTTCTTTTAAGATAAAAGTTTAGAGGCCTACGGATTCTTCAGTCCTATTTGCTCCACGTGAAACTAATTGGCGTTTTGCTAGCTATTACCTATAACTTCAGCTTGCATATCCAACTTTGAAAGTCTCTGGGTTGGTTGGTTTCTTCGAATCTTTCAATCGCTCCCTTTAGATTTTTCTTTTTTTTTACAGATTCTTTAGATTCCGAAGATTATTCCGTTTCTTCAAATTCTTTCGATTTTTCAATGTTTCAGAGGTTGAGATTGTTCAGACTTATTCCCCTTTTTCAAATTAAACATTAACATTAAAATCCTTCAAATTGATCACGTTCTTAAAATTCTTCCAATTCTGCAGATTACTGCCATTCCCCCATTTGGTGGGTAGGCATTCAAAATCGTCAAATGCTTTACTGCCGTTTCTTTGAATCCTCTGGATTATTTAGTGCTACAGATTTTTCAATTCCTTCGTTGAGACCGTTCCGCATTTCCTACTTATATATCCACTGCAAACTGTTTCATAGACATACGAAATGCTGGATATATTATAGATATTATTTAAACTCTAATTTACTGGTCTCTAAATAGGTACCGATTGCGATTTAAGCGTAGGCCGAGATAAATTCGCCACTAAATACATTATTATTTTGTATTTGCAATAGCGTCAAATTGGTCATACGTGATCACATGGTGTTTCGCGTATCTGCCTTTTGGTCCAGCGACTTTCTTCCTCGATCCCTGCAAGCTTGTGGACTATATTGAACAAATTAATGAAGGTATTTCGATCCTTTTTACGATAAACGCTTGATAATGACAGCCAACGAAAATCAGTCGCAATAGCCACATGTTTGTTTATAATTAACATTGGTAAAAGAAAAGACAAATGTATAGCATCTATAAGTTGTGGGTAATATTCACATGATACTAATGCGAAAGCGTAAAACGGAGTACCTACGTCATTAGAGGGAGGCTAATTATTATCTGTGATTGGTGATCGTTTCAAATTTCACATTATCGCATCTCAAATCTAATGATTACCTTCTGAAAATAATATTTATATTTTTTTTCTTGAAGAGTTACCAGTTACATGCGATCCGTCACTCAATTGAAGTAGAAAAACTCATAACGTACTCAATAGATAGGTATTGAATTTGAACGTTGACCATTAATCGCCCTCGGCGATAAAATTTAAGTGTTATCACACTGTGCACTATTTTTTCAATTATTGAAAATCTGATTTCTTCAATTCTGGGGGATTCTGGGGTTAAAAAATTTCTTCCATCAAGACATCCATTTGAAGAACTACAAAATCGCTTATGTTAATGCAAAATGGCAATGGAAGTTTAAACTTAATGATGACATATCATATTGTGCAGTCATAGCAACATTTTAAGGATGGAGAGATAAAAAACATTGATTTTCTTTAAAAACAGATTAAACCAGTAGACCTTGGAGTGGAAAAATTAGGAATAACTTAATTTAGAGCCCATATAAATTAACGAGTAGGAGCAATTTCGTAAAATGGAAGTCGTTTAAAATTTTAATGCAATTTTCATATCGGAAAAATTACAAAAAAGTTACTATTATGAAGTAGTATAAAAGCAACATAACGTCAGTCTTGAATTAAGTTATAATTTGTATGTATAGTGTCTACACATGAAGAAGGAATGTAAATATTACCAAAACATGCGCGTACAAAAATAGTAAAAAGCGATTTCAGATAAAGTGCAGGACTTTTAATTCTCATCGACTTCACCTTCTTGTTCTTCATCAAATTCGGCATCTTCGTCGGCGGTTGCTTCCTGATATTGTTGGTATTCCGAAACCAAATCGTTCATGTTGGATTCCGCCTCAGTGAATTCCATTTCGTCCATACCTTCGCCCGTGTACCAATGCAAGAAAGCTTTACGCCTGAACATAGCTGTGAATTGTTCGGAGATACGTTTGAATAGTTCTTGAATGGCGGTCGAGTTTCCGGTGAAGGTGGCGGACATTTTTAGTCCTCTGGGTGGAATGTCGCAAACGGCGGTTTTGACGTTATTAGGGATCCACTCGACGAAGTAGCTGCTGTTTTTGTTTTGGATGTTGAGCATTTGTTCGTCGACCTCTTTCATCGACATGCGTCCTCTGAAGATGGCCGCTACGGTGAGGTAACGTCCGTGTCTGGGGTCGCAGGCGGCCATCATGTTTTTGGCGTCAAACATTTGTTGGGTAAGTTCAGGTACGGTTAAAGCTCTGTACTGTTGGCTGCCTCTGGAGGTGAGTGGTGCAAAACCGGGCATAAAGAAGTGAAGTCGCGGGAAAGGAACCATGTTTACTGCAAGCTTTCGAAGATCTGCGTTCAGCTGACCTGGGAATCTAAGGCAAGTGGTAACGCCGGACATTGTGAGTGAAACAAGATGATTTAAATCTCCGTATGTTGGTGTGGTAAGTTTGAGTGTTCTAAAGCAGATGTCGTATAAGGCTTCGTTATCAATGCAGTAAGTTTCGTCGGTGTTTTCTACAAGTTGGTGTACTGAAAGGGTGGCGTTGTATGGTTCTACAACTGTGTCGGATACTTTTGGCGAGGGTACAACGGAAAATGTGTTCATAATTCTATCGGGATATTCTTCGCGTATTTTCGAGATAAGCAGCGTACCCATACCGGAACCGGTACCGCCACCAAGGGAATGTGTCAATTGGAAACCTTGCAAACAATCACATGATTCAGCTTCTTTTCGTACGACGTCAAGTACCGAATCTACCAATTCGGCGCCTTCTGTGTAATGTCCTTTTGCCCAGTTATTTCCAGCGCCTGACTGACCGAATACGAAATTGTCAGGGCGGAAAAGCTGTCCGAATGGTCCTGACCGTACGGAATCCATCGTCCCAGGTTCAAGGTCGACTAGAATGGCACGTGGAACGTATTTGCCTCCGGAGGCTTCATTGTAGTATACATTGATGCGCTCCAGTTGAAGGTCCGAATCTCCATGGTATGCGCCGGTTGGGTCGATTCCGTGCTCGTCAGAGATTATTTCCCAGAACTGAAAGCAATAGTTAACTGTATTATATGTAAAAATGATAGATACAAAACACAAATGCAAAAACACAAAAGGCGCGATAGTGGTTTTTGTATGAAAACGTGGCTATTAGCAATTCGTATTGTACGGAGTCAAAAAGTAATATTTGTTATTGGAAGAGATAGGCCAAATAAAATAGGACCGCGGCGAAATGGAAAATTTAGTTGATTTAGTCGACTAACGGACAAAAAATCATTACAGAAATAAGCTATTGGCATCTGGATTAAAGTAGTAAAAAAAATTGCTATGGCTAGCACAGATACCACCCGCACCCCGCATGCGCGATTCAGCCGTTTTATGAATATGTGTACCAAATTTGGTTCCAATCGGTTCAGCCGTTTAGTCGGAAATGAGAGTACAGATGAACGGACAGACCGGCATCATCGAGATTTTGTTTGATTTGGATTCCTGGTAGTTCAAAACGTGTATTTCCATAAAAAGTGGGAGGTCATTTTTACCCCAATGCAATACCTCCCTTACAAACGTGCGGGTGGTAAAAGGACTCGGTGAATCGAAATGGGGAAAAATTGTTATTTGAATACATTAGCAACTGTAGACATTATATGAAATTACATACGATACGTGGAGCAATATTCTCTACAACAAAATTTTGTTCTACGCCAAAAATTCGCTATGAAGTCCAGTGAACCTAAATACTAGGATTTAAAACTAACTCAAAAATCGAAGGTTCGACAGAACATTCATAATAATTTACTAAAAAAAAACAGGCAAATGCCATGGGGTGTAGTTTAAAATTGTACTCTTGACACTTTTCTGATGAAGAAGTCGCCCATAAAATTGGTTTACAACGATCCTCTATGCGCCGTTTCGAAAACGCGGAAGCTATTGCGGAGACTGCTCCTGCATCCACTCCTTAAACTGTTTTTTGACAGAAAAAAAATAGATCAAGGTTTTGGTAAAAGATAACATAAAGAGTATCTTGCATGATAAAATATTGCCACCTTCCCGGTCCCTCATCTGTCTTTTATACATTCTTTATTATAAAGTATATATACAAAATCTTTCCGCCACATCCTGAATACTTAATGGAAGTCTAAAATGAATTTTTTTTCGCGAAGGATCCACGAGACCTTTGAAATTAGCGTTCAACGTACCAACGTACCAATCTCTTTCTAACAGCAGGCAAGAGCAATAACGTACATTGAACGCAAGTCTTTCTGTATGGGTAAATTTTCAAAAAGTGAGTTTAATACCCTTACAATTACGAGATCGTAGTTGGCAAGATGCTCTAGTACGCCCTGAGGGTAACTTCAAACCTTCTTAAGATGATAAAAAAGCACAATCGACAAGATAAATCGAAAAATAAATCCAAAAATTCTAAGAATAGAGACTAACGAAGAAAAAAATGTGTGGTTATTTTCCTCTAAAGGACGCAACTTAAAAATTAGGAAATTAAATGAAGGATTCAAGAAGATTACTACAATTCCGGAGAAATTAAGCAAATGGAGAGCTAAAAAGAATTCAAAAATTCGTTAAATTCCAGAATGTTAAGAAACAAAATCCAAAAACTCCAGTACGTGGTGTAGAATTCAGAAAAAATTAGAAAAATTGAAGGAAATTGCATAAACAAAAATCCAAATTGTTTTTTCCTCAATGTCAGTAAATTTTCAAACAACATCCCAGACCCACGTGGTCTTAAGTAATCCTTAACAGTTTGAGGACCGATCTTGCATGCTCCAGTTAAACTTATTATTTGTTTCCATGGAAATCAATTGTCAGATGTATGTAACGGTAAGATGAAATTCCGCAGTTGGACTATTTTGTTCGCGATGTACCATCTTGTACATAATGTACATCTGTACATACTGTTCACAAGTCGTTTGTATTGCAAAAATGAAAGAGAAATGAGATATATTATACCTAATGCAATACAATCCTTGAAAGAAAGTGTTTCCCACAATTCTGCGAAGCAAAAGTTATTACAAGAGACAAAAGGAAAAATTTAACGATTTGGACATTGAGTTTTTATATGAAATTGTACATGTAGCATTTAAACAGCATTTAAACGTAACTATTTACACGTGTACCATAAGTACTTTGCGTTTTGAATTTTAAGAAACCTATTTATCGATTATAAATTGTACAACCTATTCAGCCTGAAAATGTAAAAAAGCACAACGGCCGACAGGTGTGACAAGATGGGGGGTAGGATATAACAAATATTATTTATGGCTTCGCAAGTAGGGGTGATCTAAACTAAAGGGTTCGTATTTTAAAAGATGCCCTATAAAGTGTCATTAGGTAAGGCTTAAACCATGAAAATCAACAAAATCAAACTATGAGTAATACAACCGGAAGCAACCGTTGAAATTACTTAGGGTTGAGGTAAATCGCACAAAGGCAATAAAATGAATCATAAGGGCAGGCAAGTCAATAGGGGTGACTAAACCAGATAATTACTGGAGGGCGTGTTCGGCGAAAATAATCGGAAGTAATTTGTTATTTCAAAAATTACCCTTTCTGCTAGAAAAATGGTGCCTGTAGGTACGATGTACGTAAAAATCGATGCTAGACAGAATAACAGCTGTGTCCTACATGTCTTCCCCCAACCACCCTCGAAAATCCCTTACTCCGAATACCTAAATCAATAGCCAATGGAATGAAGGACATTTTTCAAAGCCAGACAAATAGTAATAATTAGAGACGAGCGATGTGAAGTCATACCTATTTTCTATGCTAAGTGGGTTACGTAATTCATCTCTACGTAAAAGTAATTTGTCAAATGCGGGCAATAAATACTCAATTACACGTTTAGATAGTTGGGTACGAGTAGGTACATTGAACTTGACTTTCAGAATCTACAAAATCTCAAAGTAGGTTTTAGAAGGTAACGGGCGTAGACGTGAAATAGACCATGAAAATTGATGCGAAATGTCTTTCTAAAACTAATTTTCGAGTCATTTGAGTTTTTACTATCAATCGAATGAGAAAGACTAAACACATTAAACATCACGGCCAGTTTGCATGTTACTGGAAAGTAGTGCTTGGCAAAACATTACAACCGCACCCAGTATGTAGTTATTGATTAAAGCAGAAGACTAATAAGAGCGTGGACGATTAACCCTTAATCGTCCACGCTCTTATTTTTAGGAAGCATGAAAATAACGACTTAACATGCAAATTTGTATCTAGTCTACACTTCTACAGCTTGCATTGTACAAAGGATGGCGTGTCTACCCGGCATTGGCTAATATAGTTGTCACCGGCGTTTCCTAAACCAAGCAAGATAATTAGGCAAAATTTAACTACTCACCTTAGCACCAATCTGGTTTCCGCATTGACCAGCTTGGATATGCACGATTTCCCTCATGATTAAAAATAATTATTTGTCTGAAATAGTAAAAAAACACCGAAACTATTGAGTCTTGCAGTTACTCTGAAATACGTTGTGCTTGGTTAGGAGACGGTTATATACCCTCCCCTCTCTAAGGGGTCGCAACCCAACTGCTCCTACCTATACAACGTATTATGGATAGTGCTCGCCGATAAATTCATAAGGAGAAAAGTTACGAGATTTGCATATAACCGTATTTGTAGAAAATTTGTGGGTTGAGGTAACACGTCAGTGTTTATGGACCACCTTTTATTAATTAGGAACCTGATCTCATGAAGGACTCCCACTTTTGTTTTCAGGCGGACTAATAAAACAACCGTTATCTTATCAAAGCACCTGTTATTGTAAACGTTGTAGCTTGTACATCTCTATAATCTGGGTGTAATTGGAAGGCGCGTATTCGCAGCATAAATTTCGGAATCGCTAGTTGTCAAAATTTTATCCATAAGAACCTTCCCCCGATCAATGTCGGCAAAACGAGTAAAATTGCATAGACTTCTAGACGATTAATTAAAAGCCAGGATACTCTACTACCTACTTGAAACGTTTGCATTCCAATTGAATGTAGGTATACATACACATTATTACAGTAAAAGTACATATTTTACTTTAATCAAGTATAAAATGCCGCAGAGTGTTAAATTGTGGCAATAAATAACTAAGTAATTTAGCTACTTTTCGGTTATTTATTGGGATTATTAAGTCAGTTTTTTTTTCAATGATTTTCAGTAAATGAATCGATTTCCAACCCTTTGAATTTGTGGGGAAAACATTTAACTCATGGTTCCTAGTGAGGGAAAACCTATATTACTGTTTTTCCTTTTGATATCGTTAAAACATGTACTGAAATTTGAATTTAATTTTATTCCGGTGCATTATTTTATTTGTGGGGGAATATTTAATGACACGTAATCTCAGGTATGGGAAAAATGGAAGAATAAGCCAATGTTTCAAATTTTAAATAGATTTTAGATTTTAGTAACGAGCGATCAAAAATGAGTTGCTGTCGAGTCGCCTTTGGAAGTTCAAGTTAAGTACGATTTCCCATGTAAACAAAAATTCCAAAGGTGCGACTCGACAGCAGACAAACTTTTCACCCTGTATAGTAATTATTCATACATTATAATATTTCTCTAATCTCTAATACCGCATAATTTTTCTCGTAAGAATATACAATGCATTCGATTCCATTGTTCACTATTTCTCTTTGATGGTATCTTCATCTTAAATACAGACCTACACCGGAAACAATAATTAAGGGGAGATTCACTTTAAATGTTCAAAACTCTTTTATTGTTAAGTAAAACTAAATATTTGTTTATATCAGTTATTTGAAATTGAAATCCTTGGTTTAGGGCGGTATTAACAGGCAGGTAGGGTATACAATGGCAAAATGAGGTAGCGTCATTGTGAAAGTGGGTTCCCTAATGAATTGTTAAAGATTTTAAAGTGTTCCGTTTGTCTTAATTTATGTAAGGTAGGTGACGTTCCGGTGTGTCGAGAGCAAATTGGTTTCCTGTGGTTCAAAATGAAAGAACAAATGTCAGGGTCAAAGTCGTAAAAATACATAATCTGTTAAATCACCGGAGTTATTAGGTAACAAATTAGCTACACAATATTTTGTTAGAGTACTTATTAGCAGTTAACAGTCAGTATCAAATTCTCGAAATAATTACAGAAATTTCGGACGGATTGTTGAAAGTAAAGAGTAGTTTTTTGTGCCAAGACAGATTAGAACAATTTTTTGTTAGTAAATTTTCGAAAAGTAGGGGGCTTTTATGATACTAGATTAATGTTTTAGTCTCTTAGTACTGTAATCATGGCCCCTAAAATATTAAGTATTTGGATCATCGGAACGCCGCAATGACCATAACGATAAGGGATGAAAAGATCAGTGGAGCAATTTCTTCGTAAACGATGTCCCTATTTCGACGAAACAACAAATGTAAGTATGTACCTGTTTTTGGGATCAATGGAATCAATGAGATCGATCGAATGTGGTTTTAGGAAAATCTAAAAGAAATTACAATAATATTTACTCTTGCTGGAATCGCTGGAAATTTGTAGAATTTTTGACCATTTTGGCGCCCCTTTTAAAAAATATTAGCGGTCTGTCTTCTAGTTTCAAATTTATGGCAACCAAATGCGAAATATTTCTGAAAATTTGCATATAAAGGTTATTGAGAGATAATTTCACCTAAAATGTTTTCAATATTATACGACTACTTGTGGGTGACTTCGTTATTTTAAATGGAATACGCCAATTGCTATTCATTTTTCTAAATCTACGCTAAAGTTAGAATAAACCACGCACGTAAACCGCAGGGTTTTTGAGCTATAAAAAATATTCGAATACTTTGAAAAGTATTTCATTATCTTACTTTGAAAAGCATTCGAATACAGTAAAAAATATTCAAATACTTGTCACTCAAATACATTAAAAATTTAAAATAGTATACTAGATAAAAGGCTTAATATTACTTAAAAAATCAAGTTATACTTTGTATGGGGTTAGCTTTTTTATATTTCTATTGTTATATACAAATTTAAGGGGAATAAAAGCGTATTATTATTATTATATTATTATATAGGACGTACCTACTAGGTCCTTTCTTATACCAGTTATATCCTTAAGAATACGTGTACCAGTTTTCAAAGCGATCGTACGTCGTGCACATGATACGTACGCCTTTCTGAAATTAATCCTAGCGATTTTGGAACAGATCCATTTTTGACCATCCGTTTGTCCGTGTGCATGATAGTTTATTTAGAAACCTGCGATCGCTTTGAAAATTGGTACACATGGTTTTAAGGATATAAGAAAGGTCCCTATTGTTTTCAAGTTACGTAGACTATCGAGTTCGGTATTCATATGTATCGGATTTTTATATTTGATTTTGTGACAATGGAAACTTTCCCTCAACATTTCTAAATTGTTCTCAAATAAGTATTTGAATAACTTAAAAGTACTGCCTTTTTTTGAGAACTGGAAAAAAATTGTCATAATTTCGATAACACATAATTTCAAACAGTTTGAAGATCGGGCTACTAGTTCAAAAGTTACAGCCCTTTGAATATTCTTTCGAAATTTGTTTTTTGTCCATAACTTTTTATTGAGAGGTCTAATCGAAAACGTACGAATTGTTTTGGATTCTACGCACCAAAATTAATAAGAAAAAGTGTTTTCCCGAGAAATTTTGGTGTAGTCGAGTTTTGGTAAAAAAGAAAGGTTATACACTGCCTTTCTTTGAGGCCCGCAAAAAAAAATTGTCTCAGATCGACCCGGAAAAAAATTTTCTTATATAATGTGACCTGTAGAATCCATAATTTCAAACAGTTTCAAAATTGGGCTACTATTTCAAAAGTTACAGCCCTTTGAATTTTCTTTCGAAATTGGTTTCTAGTCTATAACTTTTGATTGAAAAATCTAATCGAAAAAGTACGAATTGTTTTGGATTCTACGCACCAAAATTAATAAGAAAAAGTGTTTTCCCGAGAAATTTTGGTGCAGTCGATTTTTGGTAAAAAAGGAAGGTTATACACTGCCTTTTTTTGAGCCCCGAAAAAAAAATTGTCTCAGATCGACCCGGAAAAAAAATTTTCTTATAGAATGTGGCCTGTAGAATCCATAATTTCAAACAGTTCCAAGATTGGGCTACTATTTCAAAAGTTACAGCCCTTTGAATTTTTTTCTTTCGAAATTGGTTTCTAGTCTATAACTTTTGATTGAGAAGTCTGATCGAAAAAGTACGATTGTTTTGGATTCTACGCACCAAAATTAATAAGAAAAAGTGTTTTCCCGAGAAATTTTGGTGCAGTCGATTTTTGGTAAAAAAGGAAGGTTATACACTGCCTTTTTTTGAGCCCGAAAAAAAATTGTCTCAGATCGACCCGGAAAAAAATTTTCTTATAGAATGTGGCCTGTAGAATCCATAATTTCAAACAGTTCCGAATAGTTACAGCCCTTTGAATTTTCTTTCGAAATTGGTTTCTAGTCTATAACTTTTGATTGAGAAGTCTGATCGTAAAAGTACGAATTGTTTTGGATTCTACGCACCAAAATTAATAAGAAAAAGTGTTTTCCCGAGAAATTTTGGTGCAGTCGATTTTTGGTAAAAAAGGAAGGTTATATACTGCCTTTTTTTGAGGCCCGCAAAAAAATTGTCTCAGATAGACCCGGAAAAAAATGTTCTTATGGAATGTGGCCTGTAATCGAAAAAGTACGATTTGTTTTGGATTCTACGCACCAAAATTACTAAGAAAAAGTGTTTTCCCGAGAAATTTTGGTGCAGTCGATTTTTGGTAAAAAAGGAAGGTTATACACTGCCTTTTTTTGAGGCCCAAAAAAATTGTCTCAGATCGACCCGGAAAAAAAATTTCTTATAGAATGTGGCCTGTAGAATCCATAATTTCAAACAGTTCCAAGATTGGGCTACTAGTTCAAAAGTTACAGCCCTTTGAATTTTCTTTCGAAATTGGTTTCTAGTCTATAACTTTTGATTGAAAAATCTAATCGAAAAAGTACGAATTGTTTTGGATTCTACGCACCAAAATTAATAAGAAAAAGTGTTTTCCCGAGAAATTTTGGTGCAGTCGATTTTTGGTAAAAAAGGAAGGTTATACACTGCCTTTTTTTGAGGCCCGAAAAAAAAATTGTCTCAGATCGACCCGGAAAAAAATTTTCTTATAGAATGTGGCCTGTAGAATCCATAATTTCAAACAGTTCCAAGATTGGGCTACTAGTTCAAAAGTTACAGCCCTTTGAATTTTCTTTCGAAATTGGTTTCTAGTCTATAACTTTTGATTGAGAAGTCTGATCGAAAAAGTACGAATTGTTTTGGATTCTACGCACCAAAATTAATAAGAAAAAGTGTTTTCCCGAGAAATTTTGGTGTAGTCGATTTTTGGTAAAAAAGGAAGGTTATACACTGCCTTTTTTTGAGGCCCGCAAAAAAAATTGTCTCAGATCGACCCGGAAAAAAATTTTCTTATAGAATGTGGCCTGTAGAATCCATAATTTCAAACAGTTCCAAGATTGGGCTACTAGTTCAAAAGTTACAGCCCTTTGAATTTTTTTTCGAAATTGGTTTCTAGTCTATAACTTTTGATTGAGAAGTCTGATCGAAA